CAGTGTCGGTGACCACTCGAGTGCATCGCAAAAGTGAGCTGCCAATCAAGATGCTGCCAGATCAGTCCTGAAAAGTAGACTGCTAATGAGCTATGGATGTTGTTGCATGACTATGTGCTGAGGACCAGTGTGAGTTCTGGGGAAGTGAGGACATTAGAACTGGTCCTCACTTTCTGACACACATTCAAAGGGCTGTATGAAGGTTAAGACCCTAACCACCATATTAATCATTGAGTGTTAGAGTTTGTAGCTTTTGTTGACATAGTTTAAGGTTAGAGCTAGGCATGTAGCAGTTAAGGTTATGGCAAGTCTCCGGGTAATGAATGCAGGTCATTGTAAAGTCCCCACAAGGAATGAAAACAAATGTGTGTGATTTTCATAAGCCCAGGGGAAAGGTTGGACAAGCAAACAGCTGCTACAGATATTTTCCTGGATGTGCTACAACCCACACAGAAGAGAAATACGGAGGCAATTAGATCTTACTGTTCATAACTCGGTTTTTTTTTAACACAAAAAATGATGTGAATTTCTGGCTGACTGGAGTCATGATGTATCGCATCATATGAAGTCTCATCATTTGCAAGCATTCTGCACAGAATCACATTTGTTTTCTGGGAATGTCACCAACCAGTTTTGATCCAGTTTTCTGGCCACTTATGAAAAGTTGCAAGCCACTACTGCCCTCTATGTGTTACTGCGGTCCAGTAGGACTCTTGAATGCAGCTATAAAAGGTTCTGAATTCTAGCAATGAGACACATTCCAATATAAAAGCTAATGAAATGCTGTTCACTTTTAGGGAGTTTCTTTTGAAAAATTCATTAAACTGGACCAACAGTGAAAGGAGACTGACTCCCCGCAGTGAACTGCTCAATGTCCATTAATGACATCGCTAAAAGCCTTGTATGGACAGGCAGTGGGCATACAGACATACAGTGAAACGCTCTTATTCAATCCTGATGATGTGCCCATACCCCCTGTTGCTCCCCTCTGTCTCCCAAGTGAGCCCTGCCTTTCATTTGGCTCATTAGAATTCCAACATGGGGGACCTCTGATGAGCCGAGTGAACTGTTACACTACAAGACAAGATTACTAATTAATAACAGAGACTGTACACACCACCTCTATGGTGTTGACTTGTGAACATAAATCTGCCAGTTTTTGTCTAATGAGTTGGATCCACCCATCTGAAGCCAGTAAGTACTCAAAGCAACACATGCAGACATTTAATCAGAGGGCATTTTGCATCTCATCTTATTGTAGGTGTACATCTAATTACTTAAGCCTCAAGTGTTCAGCCTGAATATTGGTATACAATTTCAATATATGCAACGAGAGTAGACGTTAGCAGCCCCTTACCTCCAGTTTGTGCATGTACGGCGTTATCACTACATGCAAGTCACAGAGACAAGCATCTTTTTCTTTATACCTTGCCTTTAACCTATTGTAATTTAATTTATTGTTCTTCAGTATCCTACAGAGTTTTGAAGTGTACTCAGGTCTCCCTTGAAAATGATATCTTAATGACAGTTAAAGCATACATTTTTTTCTTTTTACAGTATTTTCAAAATCTTCATTAGACAAGTCTTCCTCAAAGTAAAAAAAAAATATTTAGATACATCAACATGTACCAACTTGTGTTAATATTCAGGATATGTATCTATATTATTTTTCTACTATTTACATAAAACATTTTGCTTGTGTCATACAAAACATGCAAGGCAGTAACTACTTAGCCTAGATTAAAAATAGAATCATAATTGGGTTTATAAACTTTTATTTTGCTGGAGATGGAACATTGTTTGATCTAGAAGGGCATAAAAGCCTCAGAGGATTCTGGAAATAGCTTAACTGAAAGTCTCCCAGAAAAACAGACTTAGCTCTCTGACACAAACATAATGATAATAGATGAGAGGCACAAACTGGGTCCAACAGCCTTCTCATCTCACCTACTGTTTCTAGTACTGGCTCTCATTTCATCTGCCTTTGTTTACCAGGGAGGCTTCGTGGACATCATGAGACTTCCTCTGATCACTTCCTCCACCTGCAGAGTTTCTCTCCAGTGATTTAAGCCACTCTGGCACATCTCCTACCTCTGGCCTTGTTCCCAAACGATGTGCCAGCTCCCTCTCATAGTTATTGCGTGCCCTCTCTTCCGTTGGTTTCCTTTTTTTTCCCCCCACTTCCGTTTCTCTCCATCTTACTCATCTCTCTCACTTGCTCTTCTTTCTTCCCTTACCCACCATCTCCGCTCTGTCCTTCTCTTCTCCTCCACATTGGCTCACTGCATCTACCAGCTCACCATGGGAGAGCCCAGACTTTGGCCAGGCTCCCTGGCTCTTCGTGTGAACTGTGTGTGCGGCATCGGGATCCACTAAGGTTAGAAGAGACATGCAGGAGATGATTAGGCACTTCAAAGAATCTCTTTTGCACAGGTGTGAGGGCTCTCCCATGTCAGCAGATGCAGTGACACAAACACACACACACTGCATTAATCTGAAAGCTTGGCAGCTTGTGGTTGCACGTTTCCATCAAACGTGGAGCTCCTTTGAAGGTCTCAGACACCAGGCAATATCTTTACATTACAAATATAACACCTTATTGTTCATGACTTCAGGCTTGTGTTGACACCCTAATGCAGTGCACCCACTGTGCACATGCATACACAAAAGAACAGAGTTGTAGATACTCGGCCACGCAGCAAAAGCACACAAACTAACATCTACAGTTACACATTTCATTTTGTGTATGTAATCAAATGACCCCACACCCATGTTTGAAAACACTGACAAGCACTCCCAACTCATAAATTCAGGATTGTGTTTTTTTAAGCTGTATGAAACATCAGGAATAAAGAGACTACAAGCCCTTGGCCACACACAATTGCAGTAATGGCCCTCATTATGCTGTTCCATGTATTAAATAACTTAATTGTAGTTTGTTTACACATGTGGTGAAGTCTCCTTTTCATGTAATTCAAAGCATGCACATTCATTGTCAGAAAATATAAAAAGTCAAACAAATAAAACATCTGTTTATAACTCACTGGTGCACAAACAAGCTTTTATTATGTGGAGTTTCATGCTCTGTGTCATCCATTCAGCTTACAAACATAACACACAGGGCTGCGTGTGACAGTGGCATCTCAGGTTAGATCATCTCGGGTATTTCGTTTTCATGGCATAAAAGAAAAAACATGCTCAACTATGACAAACCATAAGAGTTTTTTTTTTTTGTCCAGGACTCATCAAAATCAAATTTAGCTTTAAAGGATTGTTTTTGTAGGGGTGGTGGTCTGTTGTTTCCAGACTCACTTTTCAGCATGCATGTTTTTTGTTCTATCATTTGCTTTTGTCCAGCGTAACCAACAATAAAATAAACGCTTTCAACTTGCATTGGAACAAGATAGATACCATATAATGAAGTCATTCATACACATATTTCAGTAAGAACCTTCATCCAATTTCCATTCCCTGCACACTGCGTTTGCTGTAGTGCTAACGTTATCATGGTAATAGGCTAAACTAAGATGAACATGTAAAAATTACAACTGCCAAATATTAGCCCATTAACACGATCATTGCAGTGTTACAGTATGGGCATGTTAGCAAGTAAACACCATTTGGCTTTTGTTGCTTAAGTTACTACAGTCAGAGTTACTAGCATTGCAACTGAATTCTAATTTAGTTTTGTCTCAAATGTTTTCTCATTTTTAGCATAATATTCTTCACAAACACACCTCATCACCCCACCTATCCAGCCAAGCCATCCAGTCCACATGGAAATGATCACAATTCAACAAGGTAAATAGCAACTACAACACCATAAACAGCCTAAGTATTGCTACTCAAACAGTAAGTATTACTCTAAGCACTTTGGGGCAAATGCAGCCATTTATTTGCCAATCGTGTTTGACACAGATTGGGTTTGATGAGACTGCTTGTTTCATACAGCTTTAAAGCTTAAAAGAGGAGCTCAAGTTGGAGAATACCTTTTCCCCCCTTTTGTGATGCATCTGGTGTGCTTTTCCAGTACCAGTGGTTTTAGCTGCACTGGCTGACCTCTACAGTAAGTAAATGTTTAGTGTTCAGTTCTTACCTGCTTCTATTCAGTCAGCAAGACCCTTGATAGAAACAGATCAGGTACTGCCAACAGAAAGAGAGTGAGAAATGAGCAAAATGATGGAACTGGTAAGATTAAAAAGCATAATTCACAAAAAAAGGCAGAATCAAAACAAGACTGGTATCTGCTATCGCTCTAAAATTAGGTCTCTGGTAGAATCATTTAATTTGAAGGTCCAAATTCTGAGTATGAATATACATCCACGATATGCTCTAAAGAATGCTGCTACCATTCTACACCTCCACACCTGCCAGTGATTTTGCAAAATGACAACAAACTGACCTGACCAATTAATCTTAACTGAATGCAGCTGCAGCCAGGTTCTAAATCTTGTGAACATCCCTCCCAGAACAGTGGAGGCTGTTATGGTTTTGGCAAGTGGTGTTTAACAATCACACATGGGTGCAATGTCAACATACTCTTACATATAGTCATAAAGGTGCATATTGGGATACCACTGGGATCTACTGTATCGGTAACTGTCAGTATCACAAGAACAAACAAATGTAAGGACATTCATGCAGTAGATAAGAAAAAAACACATTCAAGTGTTAATACAAATGGAAAATGGAACTGTCCTATTTTATCACACTGATTCAACAAGATAAATGTAATAAAAGGGTAATAAACTATAATTTATTTCGTCATGTTTTTTTGGTTTTGCCCAAAACATTCTGAAAAGAAATATTCATACAAATTAAAAACTATTATTCAGTATAATGACAGTAGAAACTCAATATAAAAAACATACAGCCAGTTTAACCATGCTTTAAAACTGAAATAAAATAAAGCAGAAGTCATGACATACATCCTCAGGAAAATGATCATTAAAAAACAAAATCAAAGTAGTTTAGAGAAGTGAGGTCTCCTTGTTGTCCACTAGAGGGCGTCTTAATGCCGTGAACCTACAAACAACCACAGGACTTCGGTCGCCCTTCGTTTCAGTTTCTGCTTTCTAGTTTCCCAGAAAAGCTGGAGAACAGAACCACAGTTAGTCAACTTTGCTCTTATTGACGTCGGCAGTGCACAGAGTGAGAACGATCCTTTAATATTATCACTGCCTTTTATTTCCGTATTGTAGGTGGCGACTTCTACAGGAAAAGACCCTGAGTTAATTTTCGGGAAGTTGCTCAATATCGGAAAGCCACATTTTACTCAACCGTGAGATAAATGTTAGTATTCTGCACGTATGGGTGAATTCAGTGGCCTACAATTAACGCGGTAACAACTATCTAAATGGATATTATGTCAGTATAACTCAGATGAATCCTGAACTCAGGTTGCGTCAGTAGTTTCTGCTACAATGGATATTTCAGTAACTTCCGCTACTTACATCCGCAACCTCAGTTATAGTTTACGCCGCAAGTTGTCAGATTTTTTGGACCCTCAAGACAGGTGGAAAGATGTTATTGTGTCGATACGGAAGCCGGGTGGGGAAATGAGGTACCCTCAGCACCATGTGAGGTAGGTGATTAAAGTTGGCCACTGTTTTCTTGTTTCAGTGCTGTCTGTCTGTCTGTCTGTCTAACGTTAGTCTATCCAATCGTTGTCTTGTCAGGAGATTTGAAGGCCTTGTTGCACAGGGGAGAAGTCCCACATTGGAGCTGCTGAATGACTGGGGGACCACCAACAGTACAGTGGGAGAACTAGTAGACATTTTGAAGAGTCACAAGTTAGTGGCTGCTGCCAGTGTTCTGCTACCTGGTACGGTTTGAAAACCATAAAGTAATAATAACCCCAGTGTAACCCCCATCCCCACAGTGTTAAACAAGCTTTTTCTGTTGCTTTTAGCTCACATAACAGGACAGTAAAAAAAAAAAAAAAGCATGCTTTTGATTTGTGCACCATATCAAATTATAAGTGTTTGCTTTTTTAAATCACACACAGTGGAAGAGGCCACCTCAGCAGGTACACAGCAGGCCTCTCCAGCTGTAGACACAGACAGTGCCCTTCCAACCAGGCTTCTGGGTGAGAGAGAGGCACAGCCGCCACCTGTCAGCTCTGCTGTGCACACACAGATTCTGCTGGAGAGCAGTGAAGCCGAACACACAGGTAGCTGTACTTTTACTTGTTTATGCCTTCCACAGCGATCTGTTAATGAGAGATGGTGGTGAAGCATATGAGGTTAAGCTGTTATTGTCAGCTGAATACCTGCAGTTCAGTTAATTAATTAGCATAATGATGATACTTTGCATGTTTTGTTGTTAACTGAAATACAGCATATACCACAATGTAAAGATACTTCATTAAAAGTCATGTAAAAGTACAGAAGTTCTATCAGCAAAATGTTCTTGAAGTTTCAAAAGTAAATGTACCTGTTAAACTGAAAAATGACCCCAGTGGCACATGTAATTATTAGTATACTGCAATCATGACTGTTGCTGATGGAGATGATGCTAATTGTATATAATGGTAATATACAGTATCTAATAATAATAATATGTGATGCTATACACATTACTCACCACCAGCTGGCAGCAATGTGGTCTTACCCACAAAAGGGTGAGTGAAACCTTTGTATCTGTACTTCACTAGGTTTCTCCAGCTTCCTCTACAATGATCTGATGGAAATTACAGGCAACTTTGATGACCGCCCCATGTCAGACGGCGGCAGCAGACTAGGAGAGGGAGGCTTCGGCACCGTATACAAGGGGCTCCTGAATGGTAAACCTGTTGCAGTGAAAAAACTAAATCCAGTAAGTGGTAATATAAACATACTAACTGTTCGTAACTTTGTAGGTCTCATAAATCACAAGACTAAGTATTATCTAATTTAGATGGATGACATCTCGCTCGACGAGCTGCGAGTTCAGTTCAACCAGGAGATCCAAACTCTGAAAATGTAAGTTTCTTCTTCTGTCTGTGTCCTTACTACTCAGTTGGCTTTTGGGTGACTCAGAGATTCCTCATTAACATTACATTTTATAAACTAGATCAGGGAAGCTGCTTCTGAATCTTAATCAAAGTATGGGATTTGATGTCCCATTGATGTCTGGATGTAAGCCGGGGATAAAAAAATATATAAATTTGTGCACTTAAAGCTAGACTGTGTAGTTGTCCATTTCTTTAAGGTTAACATACTGTATGTTAGCATAAATATGTCTGTTTTCCTGATGTTTGTTCCACAGGTTGAAACATGAGAATCTAGTAAACATGGTTGGATTTTCCTGTGACCAACAGCACCCATGTTTGGTGTATGCCTTCATGGCAAACGGCTCTTTGCTTGACCGACTAGCTTGCTCAGTAAGCACCATCTACACTTAAAAACTCAGTCTTTTGGCAGTTCTGCTTTTACAGATAGTTCAGTTGTTGTGTCCATGCTCTGTCCTTCTAGGACGATAGTCCTCCACTGTGCTGGCGACAGAGGTGCTTGATAGCTGAAGGGACAGCAAGGGGCTTGGAGTATCTGCACTGTAACCATCATGTCCACAGAGATGTTAAAAGGTACATAAAGTGAGGTCACAGTTCCCTTTAAATGTTTTTTTCTTAAAGGAATAGTTCAACATTTTGGAAAAACACATTCACTTTCTCAATGACAGTTAAGAAAGAAGAAAGTTACCAGTCTCAGATCTTTTAAATATGAAGTTTCAGCCGATGTCTAGTTAGCATAGCTTAGCATAAAGACTGGAAACAGGTTCATATTTAACATGAGAGACTCAAGAGTGGTATCATATTTCTCATCTAACTCACAGCAAGAAAGTGAATAGGCATGTTTCCCAAAATGTCCAACTATTGCTTTAACATGAGCAGAAAGATACGAGTGTGATGTGTTCGACTGCTCACGTAATCTTTTTTGATCCTGTTAGTGCAAATATACTGTTGGATGAAAAATTTGTGGCAAAGATCTCGGACTTTGGGTTGACAAGAGCATCGGCTAAACGGACATCAACAACCATGATGACAGAGAGGATTGTGGGCACTCGTGCATACATGGCACCTGAGGCGCTCAGAGGAGAGATCACGCCAAAATCGGACGTTTTCAGCTTTGGAGTGGTAGACTTTCTGCAGATACATACACTGTGCTACACACTGTACTACACAATACACTCTATACACATCTAGTGACAATTACATAAACTGTGTACTCAGATGTACTGTATTAGTAGCTATAAATGTCAAATATATTATTATCCTTTCTTTGACACTGGTTGGATGATTTATGGGATCAGTGCTGTACAAAACTGCCTGTCCTTCCAGATAGCACAGCTTGTATAGTACAGTATATCTTATTAGCACAGCTGTGGAAACACTACAGTGTCTGTGAAGCTATGAGAACCACAGTGGGATAATAAAGGCTTTCTGTCCTTTAGAGCTGTATGATTAACCCCAAATCCCTGTCATGTACAGGTGCTGTTAGAAATACTGTCTGGGCTCTCGCCAGCTGATGAAAACCGTGAGCCACAGTTCTTGGTAAGCAGCACAAAGGAGGCTTTCGCTGTCTATTTGTCAGCATGCATTTACAGTTATTAAAAACTTTGTGTTTAATCACTAATGGCATGCTCATTTGGTAGAAATTAAATACTAATTGAAAAAGATTTGGATTCGAGTGTCATGTTAATACACAAATCCAGTTTTTGGAGCTGATGAAAGTGGACATATGCAAATCATGTACCTCTAGCATAATAAAAACACTAATATTGACTTGGAAACTAAGCAATGTTCACCTGAAATCATGGTTTTGAAAGCTTATCACAGCCCTCAGCCAACTGTTGTGTGCCTTCCCCTTCCTCGCTCTCCCAGATGGAGGTTAGGTATGATATAGATGATGATGACGAGGAGCTGACTCTGGAGGAATTTGTGGACACAAAGATGAGAGACTGGGAGCTCAGCCAGGTGCAGAGTGTCTACTCTTTGGCCTGCAGCTGCCTCCATGACAGGAAAAACAGACGGCCAGCTATCAAACAGGTACAGTCAGTAAAGGCAGCTATTGAGGAGTATAGTTCTAGTTAGTGTGTTGGTATCTGTACCATTTAAGTCACCTTGAGCAAGATACAGTACTCAAATGCTGATATGTATAGTACACAAATCCATCTGTACCTTACTCTCAGGCTTCAGCAGCCTGAGTTAAACATTTGACATGGGCATGTTCTGTTATAACAGAGAGGCAAGACTTAATAATTCAATTGGCAATAGTAGTTATTAATATTGATATGTCTTAACAGGTCCTGGCTGAGCTCAAAGGAGTTGTCAAAAACATATCACTGGATTTTCAGCCGTAGCAGAACCAAGATCATGTTCCAGCCAATGCCAAGACTGACAACTTGTTCTCCACAGGTTCAGAGAAGTTGCTTGTTGACTTGTGAAAGAAATACTTAAACAGTCACAATCTCTTTGTGTAATAAACCTTTTTAAAGCTTAATTTTAAGTGACTTACTATATTTTTGGTAAGAAGCATGTGGCTTTGTTTTTAGAGCTGTTAGCTGTTACAGAAATACTGCAGTACACTGAACTGGCATCAAGCATATCAGATGGTTTGATGGACACAGCTGTAATTTCAAAAGTGTTTCTATCATGTATTTACTGTGAAGACAAGAGGAATAAAGTTAATGAAACAAAAACCATGATTTAAATATTTTTATTTTTCTTCTTTAAAAGAAAGGTTTGTAAGAAAACATAAGACCGAACATGATTTTCTTTTCTATTATTATGACACTATGTGAATATAAAGGGATTCTCCCTTCAAAAAAGAGGTGAGCTTAGTAGTTTGCCTAATATTAATCAGTAGACCAGTGGCAACATTTTGATCAAGGTACTCCTACTTCCTATCAGTTTCTTGGCCCTATGTGTGTTGTATGAAAACCTCCAAAGGTGGAGTAGCTTCCTCTTCTGAGAATCTGAGATGTATCGATGTAATATTTCTGGAAGCCCCTGTTATTTCCACTGTGGTCCTCGCCGACACCGACAATCACCAGAACAGACAAGACTGTTTCTTAGAGCATCACACAGCTACAATATGTACATTTACAGCACTTGCATAGAAAAATAAGTTTTTCAGCAGATGATTTTTTTCTTCCCATGTGAATCACAGTTATATCAAAAAAGAAGTCAATTTTCCAATACAAAATGCACTGTTAAAACGAATCGACAGACACAAATGGGATAATTGTATCTTTCCGGCTTTGGAGCACCTCGTTGTGCAAACAGTAGGAGACAAATGTCGAACACAATAGACACAGATTAATTGACACAGTCTTAAGGAATGCAAGTTAAGAATTCAAGCATGTGAACTCAAAGTGGGGGAATCTCGTCATATTGACGCAAGTTCACATTAGTCACACTAATACTTTTTAAGCCTCCGAGCCGGCAACAATGTAAAAATCTCAGGTTTAGATTGCGACTCTGTGAATCACTGTAAATTAATTTTTTGCGAATGTACTGACATACATAAATATGCTTCCATTTGGCAAGCTACAAATGGAAATTCTGAAGCGCGTCACTGCTCATTTGTCCTTGGCGTGCATAGTTGGGTCTCTGGGTGAACTATGTGGGAATTTGAGGTTGTTTTAATATTTTAAAGAAGCATGTCAAATACGATTTCCCCTTCACAGGAATATTCCACTGTGGAACGTGCTAGGGGTGGAGGTGCTGGTCGGGTGCTGAGGTCTGTTTAATCTTCCTCCTCTCCCTCTCCAGGTGGTCGGGTGATGCGCCGGCCCCCTCTCTTCCCTGCAGGGCCCTTAGGCTTGGCGAAGGCCTGCTTGTGTGCATGCTGCTTGGGATGCACCTCCTCGTACAAGAAATCACTGTTCAGTTCATCCCCATTTTCAATCTCCAACTGGGAAACAGGAAGAAAAAAAAAAAAAACACAGAACAATAAAGTGACAGAAACAACCTACAAGCCCACTTCAGCTCACACGTGTATAGGAGTATATCTTTCTGACAATTATGGTTTTGCTGTCCATCAGTTACAAATGCCGTACGCTGTATGGCACATTAACTTGTCAATTTACTAGTCAAAAATTATTCAGCTTGCCAATCAGCTTAAAAAAAAAAACTGTCTCACATTAGAGACGCATGTCTCTCACCTGTCTTTTCTCACTGGTTTTCTAATAAGCAGTGATCAAGTAACAGCGCGCTGTAGTAGTGAGTCCTAAAACCCAGAACTGAGTTAGCGTTTTTTCACTTCTGGTTCCCTTTTCTTAAGTTCAGTGGGTTTTTTTTAACAGGCTCTTGGTTAGATGCCAGATATATGGTCTGTGATTAACACAAGGCCAGTACATTTTCACGTTGTGTTCTACAAAATAAAATACACCACTCGTGATTTTTAATGCTTTTAAGTGTCTTAAAAAAAGGCGGGTGCTAACAAGTGCATAATGAGACTACAGAGGCTGTCTGGGATATTAGCCGTCATCATGCTGAACACAGAGACCAATCTGCTCACTAGCTCGCCTTTAAAGCCTCATTTTTATACTCACGAATATGAAAAACTATTCTAACTAACTGACCCAGTTCACAATCACTAGCTAGATCAGGTCACATTAAGAGTAAAGGGTTTTGCAGAAGTAAATCTAATTACAGATTGAAGCCGTGGTGAGGCTAAAGGCACGGGGCCGTGGTGTAGCTGGTTTATAGCCTAGCTTTTTACGTCTGGCTAACATATTTGGGCTTTAAAAATCATAAAAGCGGTGTTCACTTATGAAGATTATCTTACTGAACAAAACATGTTAAATGTCAAACTATTGTTTGTCACAGAGTTTATTTTCCACAATAATACAAAAGCCTATGGAGAAATCCCATTGGCTTTTTGTCAAGGGAAGCAGGATGTCAACTTCCAGGCTGGCCTACAAAAATACAGCATCCCTGGCTTGTAAATTAAACCACACCCCACAGTCCTGACCAAGCATATTGTCTGAAATACAGTTTGAAGCATTAAACTCTTAATAAATGATACCAAGTTTTTCTGTATTTTAACTTTGATTGCTGCTTTTTTAGACATCAGTTTTAAATATTTTGGAATAATAATCGATTTATTAGGGGCTTTTAGTTTTAGGGGCTTTAAGTTTGTCACAAAAAGTATCTAGCCATTTGCACTTTTAATCATTAATATTTGACCAAGATAGAATGCCGCTTACTTTTTTCTCAATCTCAATCTGGAGTTTGTTTTCCACCATGTCAACCAAGGGGTTTTTGCAGCTGGAATACAGCATCCTGTCGCGGATGCTACACTTATAGCCAGGCATAGAATAAATGAAGACTGCAAAGCAAAAACAGAACAATGAGAGAACACACCAAGAAAACAAAAGCCATTCAGAGCACAAAGCAGGGTGTGTCAGCTCTTTGTAATAACTACTGACTATTCACCTGTGGACTCCAAGTAGTCGCCTTCATGGGAATGTTTGTAGAGGAAGAAGTGGTAGCGTGGAGAATCTTTAGGGATTCTCTTAGGCAGGTCTTTCACCTCTGTTGGCTCAGTGCTGAACAATCGAATCAGCTCCTGTTCAGCGTCTACTCGCTGTTGACAAAAGGAAATCTCATGTTCGGTGGTGTGTGCTTGTGATCACAAACTCCCTGCTATGAATTCCAGATCAATTAGAAAAATCCGGGCATGAACAGTTAATAACAAATCCATCTCAGGTGTGTCAGAGCCAAACATTGAGCAGCGCACTAGCAACTGTTCAATAGGTCAGGAGTAAACCTTCAATAGATAATCAGAACAAAAGACTTTCTTGTAAAGCTTTTAGGCTAACAGAGGAAAAGGGAAATAAGGCTGCGACAGTGACACAATTGTTCCTTTGTACTTGGTGCAGATCTGATCTTGTGACACGTACCCTTTGAATTTCAATGAGAAGAACAGACACTAAGGCTTTTTAGGCTAAATGAGTAACTCATTGTGTCAGTCTAAACAAATCCTGACCAAAAACATCTCTACCTCTCCAAACAATATACATTAAAAGAACAAACTGATTTAGTATTCAAACGCTGTACTACAAAAGGCTACCTGTTTACTAATGATCTACTAAAAACTCACCAGTTGTACATAGTTGATTTTCTTGTCTCTAAAATGTTCAAGTGCTGCAATAGCATCGTGGTGAACAGGGAAGGCCACTCCCTGCAGAGTCTGCTGCTTAGTGTCCACACTGATGTCTGTCTGCACCTGAATACACCACAGACAGAGACACACAGAGACGCACAGAGGGGCACTTGAGCCTTCCATTGTCCAGCCATGGTCATAATGATATGATACATTAAACAACCATCTATGGTAATGATGTCATTCATTAGACTGATCAGTGCTTTACTTAGCAAAGATTTAATTTGCCTTCAAATAAGTTCAGAGTAATCAAACCAAGGACCGCTAGATTCAGGAATAGTTTTTTACCCAACAGCAGTTACCACACTTTATGGCTGTACCGACTGGAGGTCACTTTAAATTTTCATTGTACATGTTACAGTGACAATAAAGGATTATCTCTTATCTTATCTAAATATTCCTCATTTTAGTCATCAGAAAGTCAAAAGGTTTACAACACCAACAAGCAGCTTGAACGCTGGAGCACGACAATTACAGATGAGGTGCTTGTATCAGAAGTGATGAGGCACCTCCATGGAATCACAAAGAAAAGTGGAAATGCTGGGGGGATTACACTAATGGATTACATCGCTTTTTAGAGCCGTGTTCCCACAAAATGAAATGCCACAGAAACACAACTAAACTTCCAATGTCTCTACTTCACATACTATAAAGGACTGCAGGCCTTTCATTCATCTGCTTAATAAAAGGAGTCTCAAAGGCATGGCAGTGATAAATATTTCAAAGCCTCTTTCTCATTTAGGCAGCACAGATTAATGGTATATTATCTTCCTTCAACAGCTGGACAAGTGAGATGAGCACAGTACTCATTTCCCATTTGCTTTGCTGCCTTTAACTGACCATGCTGTAGAGAGGGAGTGCACGACACAGCACTGCCATATATGGTAAGGAAGACTGGTGGTTTCTGTGGCAGACTGGGAGAGCAGCGATTAGAATAATTTGTTTCTCAAAAAAAAAAAAAAAAAAAAAAGAATTATCGATTGTAAGAACACCAAGGTTCCTCTCGCTTATCAACACCACATTTGTCTTTAAAGGCCCCATGTGAGTCGTACTAAAAAGTCAGAGCCTTGTGGAAGCCCTACAGCCCTTACAGCACAAACACTTTGGGCGTCAAATAGCTGCATGAGATTCATATCACATTGCAGTAGTTTGTTATCTTATTGCTGGAAACACCAAAGTGCAATGATAAAGCTCACCTCAACCACAGCCATGTGCTCAAATCTACAGAACACTCTCATGTGCATGTAGCTCTCTCAACATGGAAACATTCACAAACAGCTTGTTGTTAACCAATGCTGCTGTTAGGTATTTTCTTAGTTAGGTAGATATTTAGAGATTTGTTGTCTAGAAATGTGTAGGGTAGACAGGATGTCTAGCTCAGGCTGGTAAATGCTTAGTTCATTGTCATGAGCTTGCTGCAGGCTGCATGTGGGCCCCAAGGTCAACTAGATTGAAGAGTCTGCAGGCAGGATGAATATTGCTATTATTATTGCTATGCTCAGCCGTAATCTTAATCATAATATCTTCCGAGGCTTACTGTTCGGACATGTCCCTGAATGTCCTGTATGTTTTTAGATACACACCACATAATCAACATTCACACACATTATTTTCTTCATCTTTTGACTACTGCTCTGGTCAGGTGCAAAGCTGGCATATCAGGTGACGTCACGGTTTGACTTTGAATAAACCAGCACGGTTATTTTTTTTATATACTCAAGTGAGTTCCTGGTTGAAAGAACCGGACGTGGCTTTATAATAGAATAGAGCCTTTACTGCTCAGACCGAACAGGATATACAACAGTAAAAGAGACTTTATGGAGTGATGGGTGTGAGCTTTACAAGCTTAAATGACCCATCGCTGCCAACATCCTGCTGCTCTAATGCATCAGCATCTTTGCACTGTGCTGATACGCCGGTCATGCATTTGCACACTTGCAATGCTGCTGACTTTGTGTAGTGTGGAAGGATGCATTGCTGGCCTTCACTGATACCCCACGCCATTTCTGGGGATGTCATTAGGAGTACTACAGTGAGCTAGGGTAGCTATTTTTCACCCACTGAAGCCTCAGTGGGTAAAGATGCCTTAATGTCATATCTTTGCAGAAGTGAGACGGAGAACAAGCCTCACTTGTAGCCACGTCAGAACAGTCATACAACCTGTCAAGATGATCTCAAACAGAACAGACCAAGAAATTCAATCTGAATTATTTGTTAGTTTGTTTCTCTGTCTGTGTGCCCTTACCTCATTCAGTTTAATCTGTCTCAGTTCCTCCTCTGCAGCCGTGAGGGGTAGGGGAGCAGCCTGCGAGGTCAAATATTTCCTGTATCCACTAAGATTCAATTCATCCTGAGGGACCAAAAAAAAAAACCCCACAATCAACACCTCATACAGCGACACAGGCCGACAGACTCAGATCAGTTGCAATAAACGCATTGCAACAAGTGTCACTGCTGTGGGACAAACCTTTGTGGTGCCGAAAATCTCATCCTTGATGTGTCCGCCTCCAAACTCCTTCTTCAGTGTAGCTCTGGTAGCAGCATATAACATTTTATGTCGCACCTGATAAGAATATGAGGAAAGGTTTGAGTATCTAGACTGTAATGATGGGGCTGAATCTGGCAGCTTCTGACTTTATTTTTAAATAATCTTTTTCTTCTTTAATAAGTGTTTAACATGGAAACAATACAGGACAACATGGCAAGAAACAGCCAAAAATGAAAACACAAATCAGGTCAGTGAAGGCAGCAGTGTGCACTTGTTGAGAAATGATTTGCAATTTCAAGACAAGTCTCAACCTGAAGCACTCTTTTTGAGCTGGAGGGCAGGAATGTTAAGCTCAGCTATATCTTTCATAAAGTGAAATTTAGTTTGCTTGCACCATGCAGTTAGAGCACCACAAGTATCCTGCACAGCACTGTATTCTGGCACTAGTCTCTCCTTGCAACATTTCTTTTTCCACTGCCATAGAAACAACATTTGCTTGTCTATTTGTCATGGTTATTTTGACTCATTCTGACACTATACTACAAGTGTCCCATCAGGTTTCCGAGGAGACGACATTGTACGAGTCAAGACATAAACAAATATAAAACCCACATTTACATAACAAGGAAATATCATCTAAAAGCACTAAGGGTGAATTTTAAGCCTAAAATGGGGCTGAAGCACCCCATAATCAAAACATATTTAGACCACAAGTGGTCTGGTAGGAAATAATGAATGCACAGACCACATATACAAAGAACTGTTGCCTGATGTGGTCAACCCTAACCCCAATACCTAACCCCACCCATATGATATTCAAAGCAGAGGAGGACATATGCCATGAAATATGGAAAGCTATTCATTACAGCCAGTCCGGCCTTAGTTTTCTTACAGCAGAGTGATCTGGTGACCAAGCCAGAAAGATCCACTCATAGCCCTGGTTGTTAGTGGAGTCCAGACGGTACAGTATATAACAGGGTACGTCATCCTCAAGGAGTGGCAGCACTAAGGAATCATACTCCTGGTCCCACTTCTTTGATGCTTTCCTGGTGGCACCCAAAGTCAGCTGCTCTGGAAAACAGATGTGTCCAACACAAATTTCAGCAATGCAGGGAAATGCTAGTGATGTTGACATTCTAATGTCAGTCTTGGCAGAGGTCTGGGTAGAAGCACAAATTAAGAATTTTCTTGGCAGAAAAAGCTGTAAACAAACTCTGGGACTCTGGTGCACTGCTTACCATCCTCAATGATGATCTTTAAGACTCGATATAGGTCTCCACTCCTGGCACTGGCAAAGATATCCTTCACATCGTTCCCCGCTGAGAAAATACAGAGAAGGGGTCAGTCTCTCTTTTAAATAGGTGCATGTTTGACAAAAACATGTTCTTGTTAATATGGACATTTTAAGCCCAGGATTATATGATTCCTCCTAAAAGCTTCAATAGTCTTAATATGCTGTGATATCAACCAAATGTTGGACATTATACAAAGAACATACAATTACTTTCTTGTTTGGATTTAATAACATATATCCCATTCCTGAGTACCCCTATATTTTGCCTTTAACTCTTTAATCCTATAACTGGGTATTAAGCAACAATGGAAAAAATACTGAAATCATTGCAAAATACCATATTTTATTTAGAATTTGTTATAATAACCACAAAACAAAACACACGGACCATAACTCAATGAACATTAAAATTCTGCTCAGGAACACAGATGTGACTGAAGCCTGACCACTTTTGACCCCAAACCAAGGCACAAATAAAACATTCAAACCAGCATCTCAATGACTGTAATTTTCCATTCTAACAAACCTGCCAAAACTTAAGAACAAGTCCAACTACAAATATATATTAGATAAATCAGGGAGAACACGTGAGTGTATAAACTATGAAGGTAAATTGATTTGATGCCACAATACATTTTTAAACATCTTTACACAAGATCCTGTTCATTCAAGCATCAAGATTCACTTTTCTCCTACATTTACAGACTTGGCAGCTATAAACAAGTTTATAGAAGTGGAAGCAGTTTTATTTACATTAATACCTGCATTAGACTTTGCATAAATGTAAAGTTGACCTTTGAGGATATAAAGACCGTAGTCCTCCATAGGAAAAAGAACACACAGAGGGGCTCCACACAAAGGACATCAAATTAAAGATCATATAAAAACCAGAGTTATGGTGGAATGGATTCAGGAGATCTCCCTGTCTGTCATTAACTCACCTTATCTGCACATGCCTTTACCACAGATTAAACAGTATTGTGATGGCAGAGTAAACAATTCTGCGGTGCTGGGGACATACACAACACCCTAAACTTTAGTTCATTTTTATAATGGCATAATGCAGGTAATTCCAGTGCTACTCTCACATATTCAAAGGGAACAACCGCAGGCCAGCAATTTGTTTAAATGAAGGCGTTGCCCATCCATTCAAAAGGCTAAACTAATATTACATGACTTCAGCTCCATATAAATAAACTGAGGCTCGAAAGGATTTGGTAACACGGTGAAAACAGATACAACAGTCGTGATTTGGGCGGCCCTTAAACAGGCTAAAGACTCAGAGATTATGTTTCATGGCCCTAAAAGTGCCCAAACCGCGCATAGAGATGATCACGGCAGCCCAGAGCTAGCTAGGAGTGGCTAACTAACTTGAAGCCAGCTCCTCGTTACAATGAACTGTAGCAGGTACTCAAACCTCGTCCGTGAATAACACACTCACACAGCAAAATATATAAAGACAGAAACACTGAAAGCAGACAAGCGGACCTACCGAGAATGCCCGTTTGGTGTGACATTGTGCTTGTCGTCGGATAAAAAGCTGGTGCAGCTGATCAGACTAAACCAGGGGAGAGAAGCAGGAAGTGGACGACACCGATAAGACCCGCCCCAAGTCTGTTGTCATCAACATGGAGATCACATGACAGTCATATTTACACATCTTGTATGTGTCATTTTTTTAAAATAGACAAACATTAATATCGTGAATTACAACAATAAACAGAATATACCAGTGGTAAAAGAAGTATTAATATTCATTACAGGTATAAGTACTGCATTCATTCATTTACTTAGCTTAAGTGAAAACATTCACACAACAGGCTATAGGCCTGTAAGTCAAACTACTCATTATGCATTATATATCGCAATTGTGACAGTGTTGGTTTTAAACACTGCATTACTGGACTACTACAATTGATGCATTAACTTGTAATCAGCATTTTAATACAGTAGCTGGTCAAACAGTGATCAGTTTTAAATATTTGGGTAACTGGTAACAATACATTATACTTTATCTTATAAGCTGATCATATGTTTTGAATGTAAAACCTTAATGTGCAAAGTAATAGGTGTCATAAAAATTTTATGAAGTAAAAAGTACCACATTTACCTCTGTAATGTAGTGGAGTAAAAGTATAAAGATGTAAAACAAGTACATCAGCACAGTACTTTGACACATTCAGCCACTGACACAGCCTACACTGCTACCAAGGTTGGACTAACAGTTGGGTCAAGTGGGCAAATGCCCTGAGACCCCAGACCCCAAGGGAACAATAAATTTAAGTTTCCATGTGTTTTGAATGGCTACACATAATACCATTAATTTCAAATGATCTTAATGATTTGCTCTACTTAGGTACAACATCAGGTTCTGCAGTCTTATCAGTCTAACGAGTAACTTTTAAGACTTTATTTTAGGCTTGATTGTGCCCACATTGGGCATATTCCTCAATAAACATGTGTTAAATGAAATTACCTCCACCTAGGTGAGACACAGAAAAGGCTAGGTACTACAGGCCTACTAAATGGCTGGTTTCCTGCTCTCTGTGTAGACTGTGCAACTACTGTATAATATAATATAATATAATATAATATAATATAATATAATATAATAGTTTACAGTGCTGTAAGCCTATTGGCTATAACTGCATTGACGTTATTCTTATAAAAAAACGGAAAAAATGGATTTGTTCTATAACTGTAGCCTTAACTAGATAGCTTGGACTAGGATTAAAGCATGTCAATCAGCTATTTGTATTTTGATTTAGGTCTCTGTCTTGTGATAAAGGGGAGATTTCCGGCTCTCATGGCTGTAGATCCTATGTGGCGTAAACATCTGTAACATCTGGAAGCCACGGGGTTCCTGTCTCTGCCCTCTGTTCTTCCTAATCCTCGTTAAATATGTATTTACAAGAATGAATAGATTTTCTAGCAGCAAAATCATCCCCTCACCAGAGGGAATGTCAGTTCTGTGTCAAGTACGTCAAACAAAGCCAGAGTCACACCGGAAACAACCTGAACTCCTCTTCAAAATTAGGGTCTACATTGTGTCCTGATCACTTCATAACAGAATTCATTTATTTTATTGCTACAACTAAAAGTGGCGTCTGATATCGTAAATGATATAATACGAACAATATTGTTTAGTTAATATAAAATATACATTTAAGTCTTTTAAAGTTATCTGTCTTGTCAGCAAAATAGTTTAGTGATCATCAGAGAATTGTATTTTAAGTACATTAAAATATATATAAAATATGTTACATTTGTGAAAAATGGTGTTATAGCAACATTTCAGTAGGCAATTTGCTAATATTAACATTTACAAATAACACATTTTCAAAAAGAGTTATATTTAAATGTCATATTTCAACTTTCTTTAAATAAAAAGCAGAGTAACTATACGCATTAGAGACTCGGTCTTTAAAGGTGGACCAGTTATTTATGAAAGATATTTTAACACCAACATATAACGTATCTATGTAGAGAAAATAATCCAAACAGCATTAACCTATGAAGTAAATACGAGACATGAGCAAAGGTAACAATGTAGTCAAAATAAAAGTAGTTACATTAAGTAAAATGAAGGTTTTAATAAATCATTTAACACAATATATAGAACCAATTTTTAAATAACAGATTCCTCTGTCAGTTTACATATTTTGGATAACCTATTTATTGACATTTTATTTTCATCATGATTTACGCTAAAAGGCGTGAACGGAAGTTACATATTTCTACTGGCTTTTCTTTGGCGTTGATGAGTCAACGTGTTGGCTACATTGCGTTGTCCCGATGCTGTGTCTGCCGGGTGGACGCAGGTATCTCCATCCGTAGCAGCAGCGTCCCATCAGCGCACAAACTGCATCGTGCGGCGCGGGCACGCAAACAAAGCACATGGACGGTCCAGCACAAAGGCGGAGGATTTGGGGGTCCCTCTGTCGTAGACCAACAACAGGTCGCATGGATAATCCCTCCACAACCCTCTCGTATGATCTGTTGTTTGGGATGATTGCAGCGCCGCTGTCGGCTTGATGTGGAGGAAGAGCCGTGCGGGAGGAGGCTTCTCGTCCTAGCTGTCGACTGAGAGGAAAACGGAGCAGGTGCGTTGATGATTTACCGCACATACAGGAACATAATACCCAGGTGCAGGGACGAAGGACTTAAGCGTAATTTTGGCAGCCCCAGGTCGCACTGGGCGCATCAACAATTAAGTTGTGCAGTCAGGTAATTCCAGTCATATGTTATCCCGTGTGGTCTGCACTGTGGCATTTGGCGTTATCACTGAGAGGATGTGTGTGGCCGCACTCTTAACACGGTTGTTCATTCAGAAATTGCCAGAACTGGCACGAATAGTTGACCCATTCAGTGGCATTTCCTGGGCTTGGAGACTGTTTATATTGGTGAGTCCAAAGGTAATTTGTGCTGTTTCTAGAAAAGCCAGGGAGTTAAGATGATCTTGCAAATTGCATTTCAGCCACTGTCTTGAAGTTATAGCCTACTACCTGTATTTCCCAAGCCTGTGAGTCTTATATAGAGTGTTTGCATGTTCTCCACCTGTTTTATGGGTGTCCTTTGCATGAACTGGCCGATTCTCTCTCAGTGCATGTTAAGGACTCTCCTGCTATGAGGCCTCAAACTGGGAACAGAGGGCTGCCCACTCCTCACTGGTTGAAGTGGGATAAACGGAGGAAATTAAACCTGCATTTTGCCTGGATCATTTAGTGAGCCTTACTTCAGTAAGCAAAAGCTGGCACATAATGACAAACATTATGCAGTGAAATATAATAGTCACATGGGTGTTCCACTGTGGCAGCTCTATTTCTGAAGCCTCAAAATCATTCCAAATCCCCGCTGGTGGGTATTTTAGGAAATCATGTCAAAGCATGGACCTGACAGTCAGTCAGACCAGTCACAGCAAGGGAGTTTAGTGTGGAGTACATGGGTGAATAATAATAGTAGGGTTTAAAAATACAGAAGAGTGGGAATAGGACTGTTGGGAGGTTACAGGGTGTGCTTGGCTGGTGTTCCACATTGCTTCTGAGGCGAGTACGGAGCAGACAAGCTGCACCGATAAACCTTCTAAATGGCAGAGTTTTCTAGCTGAGCACTTTGTGAGTTCTACCTTACTGAGGTATGACACTGACACCTGAACTTGTTTTATTGACTGATGAAGAATTAAAATCTTAAACGTGTCTTTTAAAGAGCGATTTCTTGTTTATTGTGAGCTCAGTAAACTCATGATGTTTCATCAGTTATTTCAAAAGCAGCTGATCTTTTGCTGTGTTGGCATCACTGACCAGATCAGGACCTCTTTGTGATGTTTGTGTGATGGGAAAGCTGGCTGACTGGTGCTGTTGCTGAAATGAGTTGTCTGAATTTAGCATAATCCTACTCTGTACCAAACCTCAGGGATCTTCCTGGCACTAAACTGAGTCTGAGGGATGTTTTAACTCTAATCGGCCCTGCTGGTTTAAAAATAATATAATCTGACTGAAAGAAGCACTTTCTCTCTTTGGCTCCTAGGTGTAGTGTGGTTGGGGGACTCAGCAGGATGGGAATAGATGCCTGTTTTCGCTACTATTTCCAGCACCCGTGGTCACGTCTCATTGTGGCCTACCTCGTCACCTTCTTTAATTTCCTGATTTTCGCCGAGGACCCCATCTCCCACAGCCAGACAGAGGCACATATGATTGTTGTGGGCAACTGCTTCTCCTTCCTATTCAACAAGTACCCGAGCCTTGGATGGAACATCCTGAAAGTAATATGCTGGACACTGGCCATTATCGCTGGCCTGTTCGCTGGGAAGTTTATATTCCACCGCTTGCTCTTTGGTAAGTCGTGCGCAGAATAATACATTGGAATGGGCAGAGTAATGAAGGAGGGACCTTTCCTCTGAGTTGTTTTTGTTGTGGCTGTTCATCAGTGAGAACCATCTTTTCACCTTCTAGTTCTAGTTAAAGAGATTATTATATCTTCACAACCAGATCTAATCTAAGTGCTCCTGCCCTTATCTTTCCTTAGTTCAACTATTTTCTGCCTTTCTTCTCACTGTCATCAGATCTGACTCAAACACTATGTGCAGATCTCTTCTGTTTATTCCACTGGGGCTCAAACAGGGCTGCAGTTAACACTCGTAGTTGATTAATCTTCTGATAAGTTTTTGTTGCTTCATGTGAAAATAGTTCCCAAAGAACTGCGTTATTTACTCCCATTTGAGAATAGGCTGAAGCAGAGATGAGGTGACTTCACAGCTGACATTGACTCAAGTGACGTCACTTGAGGTAGTTTATGCATTTTCATGCAACTCCCTCTGGAGCCAGTAAAACCTTTTTACAGCTGTTTTTCCACATTTGCAGTAGTAAACCATAAGACCTGTAGACAGGCTTTGCTGTGTAAATTAGATGGAGTTCCCCTTTCAGTGTCAGTGAGCTTATGCAGTAGCAGGAGCCCTTTCTATTTAAGTGTGGCGTGTCAGTGAGCTTATGCAGTAGCAGGATATATACACGATATACTGTGTACAGACCATTATTTTTTTTTTAATTCTTCTATTATTAATGATCCTTCCATTTTCAGTATTCATATTCACCTCTCACATCTCCTCTGCACATTTCCTCTTCTTTTCCACCCACTTGCCATCTTCCTCACCTCTTCTGACAGTCTCTGTCTCTCTTCTTGTCTCCCCCTTCCCAGCTTGTCGCCTTCCATTTCACTCTGCTCTCATAAGGCTGTGACTCCAATCTCATCAGCCCTTCATGCGTTTAACCTTTGCAGCAGTTCACAGTGCTTCCTATTCATCTCACACATTTCATTTCCTCCTCACTTCACAACACACTCAGGCTGGATATTATTGGCCACCCTGGCTTATTTTCTTCAGATGAACCATCAATGACTGTAGTAATTGAGGGGCACAGAGTGAGAGAGTCAGGAGTGTGTTCTCTGATTGTTCATCATTTCTGAGCAGAAAAAGGAAGCCAAGAGTGCATGATGACATGCTGCTTTCTGCAAATAGAGAATTGAGGTAGTATGTCATATTGAAAACTGCAAGATGATATGAAAAGGGGGGTCTTTAGTCATGCAAGGTTAAGAAAGACTTATTTATGTCAGTAAGTATAAACTCCTGTTTGTTTGCCCAGCATAAACAGTAGTTTGAAAGAATGACATCAAAAACTAAAAAGTTAATTTTTCTGGTGCATGGGGCCTGACTCTTTTAAACTTTTAAATTTGTATTTGTGTGCATCATTGTAATGTCACACTTCGCACACACAGAACACGTTTTTCTAGCCAATACTGTGCAAGCTGTAAAACCTTAGTGTATTACTCAACCAGCATTTTCTCATTCACATAATTCATAAAAGACACATAATGAGATAGGCCCTTCATTACGCAAACTTTATTCAGTTGTTTTACACTAAGGCCCAGCGTGTCTGAATGAGGGTCTGTGCACTCACTCTGGTTTGAGCATGTAGAGGACAAACAGAGTGCCGCTCATCCTGCAGCCAGGTACCACTAATGCACTTCAGCGAGCCTCTGAACAAATGGCTCATGTTTCTATGTAGGTGGGTGTTTGTGTGATTGTGAGACAGTGGTGTTATTTCAGTATGTGTGAGTGAACAGGTCAGTGTGTGTTAGTACTTTGAGAGTTGAGTACCGGTATGTAAGAGATGCTGATGCTGAAAGCTGGAGAGGCAAATTGTGTCCTGCACAATATTTTCAGTAATGCGGTTATGTAATCATGACTCGGGTACAGTACAAGAGTTGTGTAGAACCAGGCCCACTGTAAAACCTATGATCTATTCTAGTTCTGTTACACAAACCTACATGGCTCACCTACTGCACATCATGATGTCTCCCCTAAAGTCCTGCAGACCTCCAGTCTCACCTGCACTCGGATGTGTAGGCAGACAGTGGGAATGCTTCTGCTTAGGAGCACAGTCCACGCAAATGTTCGGTCCCTGAAGAAGCACTTTGGAATCACATGTGACTGGTGTTCTCTGGCACTGTTTTACAAATGTAATAAAATGCATAACTGGAGTCTTTTTCAAGCTCATGGAATTTTTCTTTGTCACAAACCTGGAAGCAGACATTGTTTTTGAAAGCAGGAACAATTCCCTGCGTCATTTATCATTTATAATGGCCTAGAAAATCTGAACGGTTTACAGTGTATTACACCTCCCTCTAGTGATTAGTGTTGTCTTTGTTTTCCGTATGTGATCTACTCTCCCAGAAGCCCACACAAATATTAATCCAGTTGCTGCATAATAGTATCTTTAGTAAATGTTGTTCTGTTTCTTTACCAGTGGAATGTTGAAACATTAAACCGTTAAATCTATATGTTTTTAGTCTTGTTTTGTGATGAGCAGACATCGTCAGGCTTTTTGTTTGCCAGTCACTAGTAGTTTCTGTGGGGTCCTAAAAATGACTGTAGTGACTTTTTATGACTGAATCGCTCAGTTTTACAAATTTAGTGTAAATTATATATAATCTTAAAACAAATTCTTCATACATAACTAATTTTTCTTTCAGCAATAACACAGCACCACAGCACATAAGCTTAACATTATGGACCTACCTTCACATTAAATGACTATCTCACTGCTCATCTCCTAAATGCAGACAGTGAACTGCTTCTCACTTCTCTCTCCTGCTGTCTCTGTCCCTACTTTAGCATAATATATTCACCAATCTCTCTTCAAGGCTTAGGACATTCTAAAAAGTAAATCTGAGGGTAGAGTCAAGTCACACACAGCTGCTTACTAACCAGATTAAATCCTACTTTGCATATTATTACTGACACTTGCATTCAGTCAAACATTTCCCACTTGTCTTCACTGGGTTGAGTTATTTTGAGTTTCAAGAACAGTGTGAACAGCATAAGAAAAGGGGACAGTAAGGCGGAAATATGTTTCACAGAACTGTTAACACTATAAGATGCCCTGTTGAGCGCTGTGTGTGTGTGTGTGTGTGTGTGTGTTTCTCTGTTAAGTGTGCCTCTCGTCCCCAGTTTCTGGTCTTGATTGTAGCCTGCAGGATGCCATCTGGGTTCTGTCATATGTTGTTACTGTTCCCCGTGGAAGCAGAGATGCTTTATATACAGCACTGTGTGGCTGTGGGTTAACGTGGAGGGTGTGTGGCAGGATAGTGACCCTTTGCGTGCTTTTGTATGCATGTGGCTTTGGGGTATTTTATTGTCTTTGTGTTTCTGTGAGAATGTGTTGCTGTTAAGAGTGAAGCCTCTTTTTATAATAGTCCTGAAACTGTTAGCATTTCAATTTATTATCATAAAATTATTCAAGGGCTGTCATAAGGGATCATTTATCAAGTAAAAATGACCAGTTTCTCAGTTTTAGGTCGTTGTAAATTTGAACTGATTGTTCTAGGAAATTAATGCGCATTTTAAGATTTTACAGACTTAAGTTAATTTATTTAAAAATAATCTAGATGGTTAATCAAAATGTTTAATTACAGGTATATATGGTTGCAGACCATTTTGTGTTGTTGTATGTGTTTTGTGTGAAATTTAATTTCAAAAGAGCCAAAAGCAAAAACCACCCAATAAATGTTCAACCTTAAAAAAAGGGGAAAGGACTAAAACATCAGACTTCAGTACTACATCATGTTTTAATATTTTTACACAGTTTTTTTGTATAACCAGGGAATGTCTGGCATTTTGTACTTCATTGTCTTAAAAATACTCAGTTATCCAAATAGTTGCAGGTTAGTTTGCTATTGCTAATGGATTCATTTCAAAATGTTTTGACATTAAATTAATGTATTCATTCTCCAGCTACTATCTGAATAATGCTGACTCTGCCCTGGCATCTGTACAGTGCATCACCAAGGAATCCACAAAGAACAATGTGAGCCACTTGATCTATAGACTCGTCTGAAGTTATCTGCATAATCATCAGCCTCATTGCTATTCAGCCTTCAGCAACCCCATCAGGCCCTGTAGAGCTGTACATTTCACCCTTTCCTTCATTTCAGGCCTGCCTCTATTAGCTGTCCTCAGAGGTCACCCTCTTCCTCTGTACAGTGGGTACAGAAAGTATTCAGACCCCCTTAAATTTTTCACTCTTTGTTATATTGCAGCCATATGCTAAAATCATTTAAGTTCATTTTTTTCCTCATTAATGTACACACAGCACCCCATATTGACAGAAAAACACAGAATTTTTACATTTTTGCAGATTTATCAACAAAGAAAAACTGAAATATCACATAGTCATAAGTATTCAGACCCTTTGCTCAGTATTTAGTAGAAGCACCCTTTGGAGCTAAT